AACTTAGTTGCATTCGATTTTTTAGCAGGTGGCAACCCTTTTTATGTTCTAACCTAGATATAAACCTTCTCCGCGGCGATATGAATCCGTAGGTATCAATGTTTCCACAATCGGACCTCGATACCATGGAGTCTATCGATGTCAAACTTCAAGAAACTTTATTTTCGTTGTTTTGGTCTAATACTTGGACATCCTCCACTCTATTTATTTGATTTTGAACATGTACAGTTTTAAAATGTTGTAACACGTCGTTTCTAAACATTTTGACTTAAAATTTTCATACAAATAATGTTGGCCGCCAAAATCGGTCAAATACCCCTATGTGCGGTGGATGTGCTCCTTTGGCACGCCCTCCTAGCCTCCCTAGGAGAATCAGCGCATCGTAGAAGGAGTCCCAATTGTGTACCCTGCGGACTCCGCATTAGAGCAAAAACAACATTTACGTGTATTGTGTTGTTCCTTCTGGCGTCCACAGTGTCAAGAAAGTAGTATGTGAAATACGTATAAACAAAAATTTAAATAAAAACAAGTAAGAAAGTCTAAGTTCGGGCGGAGCCGAACATTAAACACCCGGCGCACGTATTAAATATATGTTTTTCACCTTACCGCTACATGGTAATCCGGGGCGTATCAATTTTGAGTAAATTAGAGTCCTTAGATTTCGAAATTTTGAAGTTTCAAGCAGTTCTGAAATGTACCGATATATGAAAAGCGGCCTCAATTTTAGTCCGATTTGCTTTTATGTGGCAAGGACAATAAAAATACCGAGTTTGGCACAAATTGGTATAACGGTTACCGATATACATATATGTGATCATAAGTGGGCGGTGCCACGCCCATTTTCCCAAATTTTACCATAAACGTATTTCTTGGTAAAGAATTGTTGCAAGCATCAATTTTGAATAAATTAGCTTCAATATTTACTGTTTTATAGAAGATTTTGTATTTCTCTAAATTACCGTTATATGGGATGTGGGCGTGGTTATTGTCCGATTTTAAAACTTTTCGGCCATTTGGTATGTTGTGCCAACAACTGTGCCAAGTTTGGAAGAAATTGGTGTAGCGGTTACCAAGATATACATATGTAACCATAAGTGGGCGTGGCTAAGCCCGTTTTCCGAAAATTTATAATATTCTTATTTTTCGTCTAAAACTTATTGTAAATATCAATTTTGAGTGGATAATCTCCAGTAGTTACTAAAATATCGCAGTTTTCGTATTTCTGCAAATTACCGTTATAAGGGAAGTGGGCGTGGTTACAGTCCGATTACGCCCATTTTCAATACCAACCTACCTTGGATAAATGGAAATCTACATACCAAATTTCGTTGAGATATCTCAATTTTTGCTCGAGTTATCGTGTACACGGACGGACGGACAGACGGACAGACAGACAGACATGGCTTAATCGACTTCTCTATTCATTCTGAGCATTTATGTATACATTTGTCTATATCTATCTCGATTCGTTTTGGCTGTTACAAACAACCATTATGTGAACAAAATTAATATACACTTGTGCACAAGTGCGCAATTACTCAGCGTGTCACCAATTAACTTTTCCGTTTGTTTTGATTCTTTAAACGTTAAACTTTGGTTTGATTCAAAATTATTATAAAAATAAATGTATTTACCCGTTGAAAATTTTGATTGTTTTTATAAAATTTTCTGTCTTTATTTGAAAGTTTATTTTTCGATTGCCAGATGAATTACATTTATACAAAAAATTATCTTTGTGTGGTATATTTGTAGATTTTGTGAAAAAATGAGATGGCAGCATGATTCTCCCACGGCTCTCTTTACACGTAGAAATTTGACTTGGAAATCAAAAATCTATAGTTCTCCCAAGTTTCTAAGCGAAGTTGGTTTTTAGGGTAACTACATACACGCGCTGCTCATATGCCAGATATACAATTTTTAGGTCAAGTCTAAAGCCTTAAACAGACGGCAGCGTTGATCCGGATTAACTCGGACTTAATCCGGATCAACTGCAGTTAATTCCCGAGTTGATCCGGATCAACGCTGCCGTCTGTTTATGCCTTAACGCTAGGCGCACATTGCATCCGATAGGCCGACCGATTTCGGCCGAACAATTTGATCGTCGGAACTGATTTACACACTTAACCAGATTATTATTCGACCGTATTTGTACCCACAAATCTAGTTTTCATTTAAATTTTATAAGCAGTGAAATATTTTGATAAATTTTAATTGACATACTCTAAACATGTGATGTGATAGGTAATTTTTTTGTTTTGCACCCAATAAGTTAATTTTTCGCAGTCCATTTTCACCTGACATCGGACGAGAAAAACAAACATGTTTGAATTTATCGTCACTGACGGACGTCAACGGCCGATGCCGATTCGGTTATCGGTTTATGTGTGAGAGCACTCATATACAGTGAAACCCGCTTAAGTTAAGCTTAGGTTTACATGGTATTTGTTAGGGAATGGACTGTATTATAGTTGAAAAATCTTAAATAAATACGTATACTTCATTAAATGTTTATGTTTTATTCAAGGATTTACATATTTATGTAAGTTAACAAAAAGATGTAACTACGTCAATAATTATGTTCGCTTAAGTACCCGCATCGGGGTACTTAAGCGGGTTCTTTTAAGTACCCACCCCGCCTAAGTACCTCAAAAAGCTGACATTTTTCGTGAGGTACATAAGCGGGTTTTACTGTAATCACAAAGGTTTATTCATATCGCCCGCATATAGCCGATATCGGCCGAGCACAATTCGGCCAATGCCGACTGCAGTGTGCGCGTAGCGTAAGTCTTGCATACCTGAGCTTTTCTTTCTTTGTAAATTTGTTGCATACCAGAAGCATCAATACATCCTTTGTTTTTTAAGGTTCCCATGCATTTTGCCAATTAATAATTTTTGTAAAAAAATTTACATTATTTGGCTGTTTAGATGGGGCTGCCAACCGTACTATAATATATAGTATTGTACTATTTTTCCGATCGGCGTATAGTGTTGGAAAAAATATAGTACACGAAAATACTATATTTCTTCAGCTATAATTCTTACTAATCTTACTAACATTATAAATGTGAAAGTTTGTATCTTTGGATGTTTGGGAAATCATCACGCGGAAACTACTAAAGGGATTTGCATGAAGTTTTGTACGCAGATAGCTTATGGACCCGATTGGTTAATAGGCTATTTTTTTTAAGAGTTGCCACCTGTTAAAAATGTTAATTTATATAATATGCGGGAATGACAGAACGGATTTGCATGAAAATTTGCAAACGAATAGCTTATGACCTAATTTGGAAAATAGGCTACTTTTCTTAAGAGTTGCCACCAAAAAGTTTAATTAAATTAATACGCTGAAACGACTGAACGGATGTGCATGAAATTTAGCACACGGATAGCTTATGACCAGAGGTGGGCACTACCACAAACAAGCGTGAGCTAAAAGTTAGCATGGGTTAGTGTACCTAATTCATTTTGCATGCTGTCGTGTTCTCATCGATGCGCTCTCGCTTGTATACGTACACGCAACGCTTACGCTCTTTTAGCACCTGCTAACTCACTGCCCATGCCTGCTTATGACCGAGGTTTGAAAATAGGCTCCTTTTTTATTATTACCTTATTACCTTACTTTTATTAGCTCGGGATGTAACTATGTAATATTGATGCGCCTAAAAGATGCAGCGATTTCTATTCTCAAGTTACATACCTGATGACAGTACGAATGGCAATTATAATAGGGAGGTTTTAGTTTTTTGAACTATGATTTTATTTAAGAGTTGCCGGCTGTTGGAAATGTTTAATTAAATTAATACGCGGAAATGAATGAACGGAATTGCTAGAAAATTTGCACGCGGATAGCCTGTGACATAGATTTGAAAAAGGCTAATTTTTTAAGAGTTGCCACCTGCTAAAAAAGTTTAATTATATTAATACGCGGAAACTACTGCACTGATTTGCATGAAAGTTTGCACACAGATAGCTCTAGGTTATAAGCTGGACAATAGGCTATCTTTTTGAGAGTTGCCATCTGCTAAACAAATTTAATTAATTTAATACGCGGAAACGTCTGAACGGATTTGAATGAAATCTTGCACGCAGATAGGTTATGACCTAGATTGGAAAATAGGTTACTATTTCAAGAGTTGCCACGTGTTTGAAAATGAAATTTTGCACACAGATGGGTTATGACCTGGATTGAAAGCCCCTCCAATACGAATTGGAATTTTCGTAATATATACATATATCTGGAATTATTTGTGGTAGAGAACTGGAACTATGTATGGAGATATGTATGCGAAATCAAATTCATACTCACAGAGAAAAATGGACGTTATTCGAAAAGAAGCGTAACACCTTCCATACTGACTGAAAGTTTCATATTACATATCTAATCATATATTTGGGGTAAAGTAGTTAAGCTTGGTATCGAAATACATATGTACAAGTGTATGTGAAACTAATCCCATACTCATGGTTAAAAATTAGAGTTATTGGACAAGGTGGTGTGGCAACTCCCATGCAAATTTATTTTTCTATGCTGCATATCTCTGGAGGTGTTTATTGCAAAAGACTGGAGCTTGGTACCGAAATGTGTATACAAAACTAATTCCATACTTATGAAGAAAAATTTGAGTTATTCGAAAAGGGGGCGTCGTGGTACATCCCGTACAAATTTACTGTGTTATACTGCATATCTCTAAAAGTGTTCATAGTAAAGTACTGGGACTTGGTACTGGGGTATATAAAATCAATTCCAAACTCATGGAAGGACATTTGGGTTATAAGAAAAAGGGGCGTGGTACCTCCCGTACAAATAAACGTTTTCTTGCCACATATCCATTGTTTGTAGAAGAATACTGGAACTTGGTATGGAGTTGAGTATAAAAAATGTATCAATTGCTCATGGAAAAAATGTGATTTATTAAAAAAGGATGCATGTCGCCTCCCATACATACTCAAACTTTCTTAATACATATCTCTGGAAGGATAGAAAATCTCTGGAAGTATTTGAAATTTGTTATGGAGATTTATTTTATAAGTGCCGTACTGACAGAAAAAATTTCATTTAATGGAAAATCAGAGCCGGATTCGGCCATATAATCTAAGGCTCTCATGATGCATACATACCTCTTGAGGCATTTAGGTACAGTACTGAGAAATGGTATTTGTGGTATATTTGGACTTTGTCACGGTTACTCAAAAGTCACTGTTAACTGCTGTGACAACTTCCAAAAAGTCACCGTGACATACTGTGACAAAAGAACAGTCGCAGTGATGTTTTTATAGTAGGATTGCGCGATTGATGAATTGTATGAGAACGCACAAAACATGCCACATAGATCGTTGCAACTGCAGCGCGAAGCGAAAAGTTGGCCAACTCCCATTTTTTGCGCGCGTTGACAATCAGCCGGCTTAATATTTATTTTGTTTCGTCTAAATTCGAGTTTTCATGCAGAAACATGAAATTTAATTGCATTACTGATATTTTCAAAGCTAAATATATAAAATCCACAGCAATTTTGACGAGCAAAACAGCAGTAAAAAATTGTTTTCTTGGCGTTCATTGTGGTATAACTTTTGCGTCTGGCACTTTGCTGGCAAAATTATAAATGTCAGGCAAAGCCACAAAGTTTTATCTGCCATCAGCTTAACAGTTACAGCCACTACTACGAACTGTGACTGTGATAAAGTAGCATTGACAATTACATATCGAGAAACTGCGACCAGTTATTTAAGACTAAATTCTGATTAATGTTGTTTTATGTATATTAGAATTTCACATCATTAAAAACGAGTGTGTATGACAAAAACAAGCGATGAAAATAGTCAGTGATGTCAAATAAATAAATTATGCTCTTAGTTCACTCGGTAAAAGGTTCCTGTTTCCAACTTTTTTGTAACTGTCTTTGTCACAGTCACGGATGAAAATCACTGTGACTGCAAAGTCACCCCCGCCCTTCTTACATATAGGAATCTACAGGATATCTTTCAGCCTCCTCGAGCATGTGTCTAAAATCGATGCCACCCGTCATTCCAGCAATGCGTACATCACCATTCATAGCCTGGTGATTATTATTCAAGTTAATGGTGCCACTGTTATTTCGTTGTTTTAAGTGTCCATTCATTAGTGATACATGTTTGCTGATCGTTGGCACTGCACCTGGAACATTATTTTCCAAATCTTGTAAAATTGCATTGGTTTGATTTTGGTTCACATGATTGGTCATCATGCCAGCATCGATCATATTGCCTGCCAGTCGTATTCCATTCTGCTGGATGTTTTGTATATGATGGCGTATAATTTTTTCGAATTCGCGCTGCACTGAAGGGCTGTCCGTATCGCCATCGACCTAGTGAAGCCGTCGAGAAAAGAGGTTCGATAAAAAAAGATAAGATTTTATTCAGTTACTCTTAACTCACAATTTGCAGACGACTATCATTGTCCATAGCTTTCAGCATAGGCAAAGTCTGTTCACGAAACAGTTCTAATCGGCGTCGAAACGAAGAGACGGTATCGTCGACGCGCCCACGTCCCAATTGCAGTTTCGAACAATCCAGAAGCACGATGGGCGGTCTTTGTTTGTACTAAGTGAAGTAAAAAAAGAAAAATATTAATAAATAAATAATATAAAAAAAAACTTTTTAATATTCTACGCTGTTATAAATGGAAAATAATATGCGCCTTCTGAACGGCTTGATACATTAGCTGTCAAATTCAAAACACACAACATGTTGTCTCAAATGATCATAAAAATATTACGATCATCTAACACGAAACTGTTCAGTTGATCAGAAGTGCAAAACGACGCGTTCAGAAGGTGCAATCGCAACAGTTACTGAGCTGTTGCGCCTTCTGAACATGCCCATTATAAACAATTTATGAGATGAAAAACGTGGAGCGCATGCAATACAAAGCATTAGATTTAATTGACAATAGTCAAACTACATAACAGGGACCTAAAATTTCCACAGAGAAAGTACAAATTTAAGATCGATTTTAAGCGGTCATTATTCATATATCCACATACATTCATATATCCACATACATAAGTACATACATTCATATATGTAATGCTCCTATATTGGCAGTAAGAGCTAGTACCGTCCGAAAACACTACAGTACAGACACATACATATATCAATAAACACGTACGAAAGAAAAGGAACACATACGTTTATAAATAAACATGTACACAACACATATATATACAAAAACGGCACTCACCCTGCAAAAAGTGGGACTAGGTTAAATACTAGTACAGGACCCCGCTACCTTGTAACCAACACTAGTAACCAAATTGGTCCAAATATATGGAGAAAATATGGTTACATTAACATTGCGATGTCATTGGACGTGACCACCGCTGAACGCTGCATAACACGGGACCACTTCTGGTCCACCACTGCATATCATGGGACCACCTAAGCAACTACTCCTCTTGGCCAATGGCACATTCGGCAACCGAATCATGTTGCCGATGGGGCACGAAGAGGTGGTTCTCAACACATATATCAGTTTTTTACGTTTGAAGTGGTCCAGGTCAGCATAACAAGTTACTAGTATGCAACCTGGTCCTTTTGCACATACTTTAAAACCACGACCTAGTGGACCACCTGGTCCTCAAATTTTTGCAGGGCAAGTACACAATACATTGACAAAAACGGTACTAGATGTCTCGCTTTGATTTCGGAATGCTTACACATTGAGAACTTAGCTTACTGTATTACATATATGCATATATTACCCTTCATATCAATTCTGGTCTATTACATGCGCCCCACGCTTTTCCTTTTCAATCTGATAAATTGTTTATAATGACTTTTGCTAAAATTTCAAAATCAAAAGTTATCAAAACAAATTCTAAAATTTTGCAATAGATATTAAATATATTGGTGCACGCACATGCATATATGTACATATGTGCACATACATACGAGCGTACATACATAAAAGCGTTGTACAAAATTTGAGATCGATTTTAACCGATCGTTATTCATATACCCACATACATACAGTATCGGTCATATCTATAGCACGCCATTTCCAAGTGATATTGTGTGCCCCTTATGTTTATTTATTTATTTTTAAGAATTTTCAATTAAAATTTAGTTCATTCTCATACCAACCCCATATATACCCAAGTTCAACAATTTGTAGAAAACTACAAAAAAGTGCAACAAATTTTCACCTAAATTTGAAACTTTTTTCCCGGAAGTCTTAGAATTTTTTTGAGTACACAGTTTTTTAGCCCCTGAAATTTTACTCTGATAATGAGCAAATTTCAAGTGGCTACGAACTACCGTTAATTTTTTAGAATTCTTTTTGTGGCATTGGCTTCCATATAATGAATAAACTCAATTTATTTGTTATGGAAGAAAGCCGCAACACCTTTGGCGAAAAACATTCTAAAAAATCAACGGTAACTTTTAGCCACTTGAAACTTGCACATTAGTAGACTAAAATTGATTGGGCTATAAAACTGTGTATTCAGAAAAATTCAAACACTTCCGAGAAAAAAGTTTGAAATTTAGGTGAAAATTTGTTGCACTTTTTTGTAGTTTTCTACAAATTTTTAAACTTGGGTTTATATGGGTTTTGTTAGAGAAAGAACTGTATTTTAATTGAAATTTCTTAAAAATAAACATAAGTGGCACACAATATCACTTTGAAATGGCGTGCTATAGATATGACCGATTCTGTATGTATACACATTAGGGTGGTCCAAAATGTATGGGAGAAAACTAAAATCGGAAATTTAATACTCTCACCCCCTAGGATTGTTCTATACCGAAAAAAATATACTCCTGTTCTTTTATTTTAAAATCAAAATATATTTAGAGGTCGCGCAAAGCGCTCAAAGTTTCCCATGTATTTTGTATGGGGAAAAAAAGACTTTTCGTAGAAATGGCATAGAATCCATGAAAATCAAAATTTTTCAATCTGAAAACTCTGCTTGTGCAATTGCAATCTGCTCTGCAATTGTTTATTTAAACGTTTTTTAATTTAAACTATTTTTTTTTTCTTTTTTATATTTCTGTTTGTATATTTGATTTTTTTGGGATATTTCGGAGACCCTTAAAAAATAGTTAAAATTTAAAAATGTTTAAATAAACAATTGAGCATTATTCTCTGAAGTCTTCTGAAGAGAAGCAGAGTTTTCAGATTGAAAAGTTTTGATTTCCGTGGGTTCTATGCCATTTCTACGAAAAGTCTTTTTTTCCCCATACAAAATACATGGGAAACTTTGAGCGCTTTGAGCGACCTCTAAATATATTTTGATTTTAAAATAAAAAAACAGGGGTATATTTTTTTCGGTATAGAACAATCCTAGGGGGTGAGAGCATTAAATTTCCGACTTTACTTTTTTTTGGACCACCCTAATGTACATACATATATTACTTTTCATATCAATTCAAGTCTATTACATGCGCCCATATATGAAATACTTCTATATATATTGGCAGTAAGCTAACTTCCCAATGTGTAAGCATTCCGAAATCAAAGCGAGACAGTCTAGTACGGTTTTTGTGTATGTATTAGGGATGTTTAATGCAAATTTTCGGAATGTGAATGTGCGAAGGCGAATGTTAAGTCATCGTTTAAAAATTTTGTAAATTATTAGAACATTGAACGAGTGCTTAATAGCGTGGGCCGAAAATCCGCTTTTTTAGAATTTCGATTGGTAATAGCAAAAATATGGTTCATTATGCTTTAAAAAAATCTGTGTAAAATTTGGAATTTTTCGGTCAATATCCTAGGCTCGCCCAAGCCCATCAAAGTTCAATACGCTCAAAAAATAATAAATTAATTAATTAATACATTTTTTTACTTAAATTGCAATAATCTTTGAAAGTATTAGTCCTTCATAATTTGGTATAAGGACCTTTTTTGTAGAGAATCGTACTTAGCTAAGAAAACAAATTTTTTGGTACTTGAACTTTGATGGACGAGCATAGGATATTGACCAAAAATTTTTACATTTCACACAGATTTTTTTTAGAGCATAGTGAACCATATTTTTGCTATTACCAATCAAAATTCTAAAAAAGTGGATTTTCGGCCCACGCTAGTGCTTAACTTATACAGTGTCTTAATCTTGTAGTCAATGTTCAAAATGGGCATATTATATTTCAAAAAAAGTACTTTTGCTGCCTTTTATCCCATGAGGCGATTTCTTAGAGGCTCGAATATAAAGCCGGCTGCACTAAAAAATCGCTCACTTGGAACGGCGGGTGGAGCGCTCAAATATTTGCGGCCCAGATCTGTCAATTTGTCGTATTTTTGTTTAGTTTTCCACCAATCGAGAGGATTTTCACCGAGATGAGCCCGGTTTTCTTTAAGATAGACCTTCAATTGAGCTTTTATTTCACATTTTTTAATGTATCCAGATTTTACATTCGAGCATTTGCTTTCGCTGGAGGAATCTAAAATTATTTCTAGGTTGCTTATACGACTTTTAGCAGTACTTGTTAAAGGCCCATCAATGTTGCTTGATATACTACTTAACAGTGTTGCCATTTTAGCCGTTTTCCGGCTAGATTTAGCCGGTTGCGATTGCAAACAGCCATAATTTTGAGTGTGAAGTTTTATTCGCAAACTTAGAAAATAAGAAATTGTTTCACTGTTAAGCCTCTTAAGATTTGATATAGTGCCAACAGAATAAATAGTAATATTTAGATGTAGATATTGTCCTCCCAGATAGCGCATATTCAATTCTGCCTAAATTACAAACCATCATTTTTGTCCACTCCCAAAGGTTTAAGGTAAGGGAAAAATTGATATTTTCAAGCACTATATACACATATGTATTTTTTTAAACAAACTTTTTTGCTGAGAACTTATTTAAATTCCAAAGACCGAATGCTAACTTGAATTAAGGGAACCAACACTGAAGTGAGTCAAAATGAAAATAAAAGAGCACAAATTTCTATGTAAAGCAAAACTCTCTGGGAATGCTACGAGACGTCTGCCGGTCATATGACCAGTCATCTAAATGGGAGATCTGCCGTCTTTTGGCATCATATTTTACATCAGAATTGAAGGGATTTCTGAAAAATCTGACCAGTTCTTTTATGTAACTGTGATTTTGCATCCCATGTCAACATATCGTCACTAGACACGAATAAAGGCGCGAGCTCAAAAGTTGACGGCGAAAAAAGACGCATAAAAAAACTATTTCTATTTGAGTGTATTGTGAATCGGTCAGTCTGAAAAGGCCTTGTAGGGAAGACAATAGGTTTGTTCGTCGAAAATCCAGCGAGAATTATCACTCAAAATATCAGATAGTAAGAAAAAATGCTCCCAAATTCTCTCTCATGTAGAGCAACTTGCAATTTTCTGTACGAACGCAAATTTGCAAGTATTTCTGCCAGCTAGTGTCCACGGTTGCATTTCAAACAAAAGAAATTTGTATATAGCTAAAAATGATGTCTGGACACGCAACATTGAAAGTTGATAAAAGCGTTGTAATGTTGTAATAAAATGCACGATGTAGAGAGCAAAGTCGGCGCATGCCGCAAACCGCTTTTTTCGTTTGCCGATTTTGACAATTCTTAAATAAAGGTAAACAACGCCACAGAAGCTT